ACCCCTTTAAAATTATTATTATGAAAATTAATATTACAAAATTATATTATTATTTACTTTTATTATGTAAAGATTTAAGGGTCAGTTCTGTTTATACTTAAAGGTAATCAAAAATAATAAAAAATTGGTCAATTATTACAATATTAATAATAATATAATAAAAATAAATAAGATAAAAAGTAGTAGTAGTATGAATTATAAAACAAAATACAATTATTATTATTATATTATAAATTGTATTAATATCATCAATATTATTATTATTATTACTTTAGCAATAAACTTCCAGGTTATTGTTGTAGACCAATTTTTATTGTATTATGTAATTAAAAAACAAAAATTAAACAATAATTAAGAATCAGTTCTTTAAACGTTTAAACATACACATAAAAATAATTGTTACTGGTCATAAAAACAGCACCTGTTGGTCTCTAGTTACCGAGCAGTAGAGATTGTCTTGTTGGTGCAGTGGAAAGGTAGTGTAATTGAGTTGCAGTACGTTCACCATTGCTCCCTATGTGCTTGCCGTGATTCAAGGAGGACATGTTCCTGGAACAACCTTCCTGTCATTCTGTCATCAGAATTTGATCTTAGAGCTGGGGTTAGGATTTGAACAGCATTCCTATGAATCATTTCTACTAGGTTTCGATGATATCTAAGCTTTAGAGAATGTGTTTGGCCTGTGATGGTTTGATAAGAATGTTGTTCCAGGACTAACAAAGGATCTTGATCCAGGAACAATTTCTACTTGGCTAAATCACACTGTCTATATGAACATATGTATGCAATGTCATGAATAATGTAGAGAAGTTTAATTCTTAAAGAATGGTAGCGGAGAAATCCAGGTTTATGCTCGTGTCCGGTTCATCCACTGTTCATAACAGGGCTCATAATTCCTGGAAAGAGTGCTCATTTAACCAAGCAGTGAGGTGGAGAGGCCTTTTGATGCAGAAACAGTAACACAAAACTGTGATTATCCTCATTCTAGCGGCCACTGAGAGGCGCTTGGCTGACCCAGTGGCTGTAATGTGTTCAACGAAATGTGTTATTGAAATCAATAGCCATCTTCCTCTTTGCTCCGTTTGTCTGCACTGTTGTGCCATTTTATCAGAGGCTCTGTCAGCAAGACTCTGAGAGGCAAAAAGGCTTCAGCCATTGCTGCTGCAGAGCTGGGAGGACTTGTGGTCTTGAAAAGAGATACAGCCGCCGATCGATGGCTCTGTAATAGCATGGCTGCGGCATCAGCCGGGAGGATCCACACGGGGTGCCGATGCATTCAGCACTACCTCTCCTTGAGCGTTAGACCCCGTGTGAGCCGGCATAGGTTCACCACTAACTGAACCAGTCACCTGTGCTGATATTAACCCTACATCCCCCGACCTCCGATACCTCTTTAGTCCCCACTAGCGCCGCCAAAAGTGTAATGGCCTTTTATCGATTTACCTCCTCCTTTTTTCTCTCACTCTTTCTCAAGATAGTGTGGAACCATTTAAAGTTAAGTGCATGTTGTAGAAGCACTGCCCTCCCGCAGAGATGATCTCTGGGAGGGCGTACAGCCTGTTCTTCAAACCCAGCATCCACGCATATCTAACACTAATCAGTCAGCAGTCCAGGGAACGATGTTTACTGACCACAGGGCAGCAGCGGATGAAGAGGCAGCATGAATAACACATTGTGCTCAGATTCAACACCCTCCTCCCTCTGGAACCGCATCTCATAGGAGCTCCAGAGATGGGATTGGGGAAGGAGAAGAATGGTGTTTTTCAACAACCGGAGCATCATGATTGGGGGGGAAGGACCGGGAGTATAGGTGGACATAAACTTGTGGCATACAAGTTCTGCTGGTTCTCATGCCACCCACATCAGTCCTGCTGTCAGAGTAAATCTTCCTTAATTTTCAAGCCAAAGTCAGATGCGTGAAAAGACTATACTCTGCATTGTGCTGCATGTTAATGTAGTCTTGTAATCCCAAAACTCACTAATGCACAGAAGCACCATAGAATTTGATTTTATGTATATTGCAATTCATTCTTTAACTGTAATTTTATTGTAATTATATATATATATATATATATATATATCTTTGCTGTGCTGCAGCCAAAAGTTTGCAATAATTTTTTTTTTTTTTTATGTTTTTGAAAGAAGTCTCTTATGCTCACCAAGGCTGCAATTATTTGATCAAAATACAGTAAAAACAGTAATATTGTGAAATATTATTACAATTAGCGGTTTTCTATTTTAATAATTTTAAATGTAATCTATTCCTGTTGTGGCAAATCTGAATTGTCAGCAGCCATTACTCCAGTCAATGTCACATGATGCTACAGAAGTCATTCTAATATGCTAATACAACTTATTTATTATTTTAATTGTATGTATGTAATATTTACAATTAAGCATTAGAAATTAGAAATAGTATGTTATTTCAAAAATTATTGTGATTTTATTTCGTTTTAACACAACATTTTCTCCCCAAGCCTGAGAAAATGTGGCACAGATTTATGTGACTTTTATGTGACTGAATTGGATTAAGATTGGCTTCTTATTGTATGTGTATTTCTGAATTTGGACAGTCTACACTATATTACTTTGAAATCCTTCCATAACTGTACAAACATTCACATACCCGTCATTTTTAAGGTGAATAAATAGTTATTTTTCTCCTTATTTAGCAGAGCATTAGAATCTTCAGATATAATTTTCAAATATTAAACAATTTTGTTGATATATCTTAGCCAGAAAAGTTCCACTGCTTTTTTTGTGCTTTTGCCATGTGAGTCAGAGGGTGAAGGCACATATGCATTTCTCAAGGATCAATGGATTTGACCTGTGTGGTTTGAAACTGTCCTCCCTCGCTGAACTGAACTCACCTCAGCTTTGTTGTTTTTTTACAGTGAAGTAAAGCCGCCCATCAGAGTCTGTGGCATCACAATGAGAGGCTTTCCACCACTTTGCCTGTTTTATTCTGGAATTCTGTTTTTAATTCACTGCGTAATCTTCAGGCTTGACTGAAAATTACATTGTTCGGTTTTAATAGCTGGTGAATGGACACATTGAAAGGCATTTGAAAGCACCTTGTCTACCGAATAGTGTCGCCGAGTTCTTTGAATTCATCTGAGTGGGAAGTGAGTGAAAGTGGGAGAGTGAATTGTAAACACTTCACCCATCCCATCCTGTGGAATATTTATCAGAGTCATTTTCCTGGTCTTGATAAATTAATGTTTTGACAGCAAATCAAACACAGGCGATAACTCCCTGTCAAAATGTCAGACCGTAAAGTTTGAATATCAAGCTCTCGCTGCTCATACTACGTTCCTGTTGCACATTTACATAATTTTGAAATCAAAGGAAATGGTGTATTCAAATTCTACCTCAGAAGTAGACAGCCCAGCCTGTGTTAGAAAATAATGATTGGCTTAAACATATAAACGGAAAGAAAGGAAGAGGCTCGTTTATCCTCACGATTGTGGTGCATTAAAGTGAAAATGATTGAAATAAGAATCAGCTGCCAAGTGAAGCCTGAAGTGGGATCAGCCTGGAGAAAAAAAAAAGGAACAGAAGACCTCAGTCTTATTAACAAGCTTGAAATTTCATTATCCACAGTTCAGGATTAAATAATGTTATCTGTTTTCTCTAAAGGAGAATGGCGAGAGCTGTGACATAAAGAGAAGAAAAGAACCTATGATGAAGAACAAACCCTTCGCAGAGGGCTTCTTTATTTAGGTTTATCCATCTCAAAGTGTCGCATGGTTTATGATGAGGGCAGTTTATGTGCCATCTCCTCACCCATAGTCCCAGCCAGCAGGAAATACACAAGTCAGACTTAAATGATCTAATTATCCAGACTTTGGTTTGTCTGAACTGTAAATTGAACACACGGACATGTTTTAGATAAGATTATACACAAAAAGAGAATGCATTCGCAAAAACAGTTACCGTAGCTGTCATTTCTCCATAATTACAGGATATTTCTTTGAAAATAAGATGTGCCTACAGTGTTTTTCCCTGACAATGTTCTCTATGTAAAGCACATTTCAGGAACTTTCCACAGTGGTATTGATGTTTGCTATAAGCATCATTTTTATTTTATTACTGGTGCTTCGTCAGTCAAGCATCACTATTTGCCCATACTTAGAGTAGGACATCTGGATTAGTATTATTATGTTTGTGTATATATACATTTATAGGGTTTTTAAATATGTTTTATCTGTTAGTTTTAAAAATAGAATAATATAATTTTAATATAAAATCATTTTTTAAATCTTAAAATATATATTTAAATTTAAAGTAGCTATTTATTTTTATTTAATATCTAAATATAATATGTACTTTTAAATAAAAATAAATGTAAATATTATTTATTTATTTATAAAAAAATTAATTAATCAGAAGTGCTATTTTTGCCCTTTTGATGATAAAATCCTGAAGACTCCATATCTGATAACTCGTCTTGGAGCTCTTTTGATTTTGGGGCAGTAAGCAACCACTTAAAACACCGTAGCAACTACCCTGAACATCCTAGCAACCACAAACAACATGTTGAAACTACTCTGAACACCTTAGCAACCACATCGCATCAGCTTGGCAAATTACCCACAGTACCCTAGTGTCATGCTGAAGAGATTTGCATGGGCAAGCATTCATATTTTCTTCTGAATATATGTGAAAATCTTTTTTTCTCTTTTTTTTTTTCTTTTTGTAGCGACTTGATAGTGAACCTTATTCCTGTGTGTGTGTTTCATGTTAATATATATTATCTGAGAGTGGATCAGTTTCATAAAAACAGGATGTGTTGTTTGGCTCTAAACAGACCTCTCCATCTCACTGAGACTCTCCAGAGCTGATGACTCTAATTGAATGATATGACTCACTGGGTTAATAGCGCGACTCAGTGTTGGCGCTGAAGAGCTGAAGCTGACAGAATGACAAATTATCGTGAATAATTGCGAGTGAATTATCCTGACTTAACACAGTCTGATTGATTTGCCCTCTGTGTGCAGGAGACAGAGATCCTTAACACCGCAGTGCTCACCGGGAAGACTGTTGCCATGCCAGTGAAGGTGGTCACCGTTGGAACCGAAGGTACCGTGACCGATGTAACCGAGTCGATGGAATGTCGCTCGACAGACGAGGATGTGGTTAAGGTAGGCAGAAGCATGCAGGGGTCACTAACATGAACAAATCACACACATGTAGATGCACTTTTGACCCTATAGACTTAAAAAAAAAACTCTACACATTCTCAATAATTTAATTTAATTTGTCCAATAACAGTCAGCTTTGCCACATTTCTAAACATGAACATTTCTATCACAATGGAATTTCCAACACACTTCAAATGATTTTTTATAACATTCTGTGGTGGAAATGGTGGCGATGGAAATTGACATTCAAAATATTTATTTGGTATGCTAATGGAATTTTATGTATCCTAAATATGCACATAAGCCAACCAAATTATTCATTTCTAAATGATTTTAGAAATGTAATGATTTAATTAGTAATTCCTGAGATCTTGTGATGTGGTGTGATTTACTGTAAAGCACTTCTGTAGTTTAAATGGTTTTCATCAAAAGGAAACAAGCTAAAAGAACCTGCAGACACACAGAAGCTCAGAATAATTTTGTAACCAAGATAACAAAAGAACTGTTGGAGGGAACACATAGTGTATTATGGTTGCTATATTAGATTTGATTTAAAGCACTATACATTCAACCGCTCTGAAGTAATGTCTGTTTTCAGTTGTCAAGCCAGAGGCGAAAAATAAAGGGATGTTAAATGCAGTCTTTTCCGAACAAGCTTGTGCTTGTGCCTAGTGTGGATTTGTGTGTATTTACTCCCTTTGGGTTTAATTATCTGTTAAACACCCCACACTTAAACACTGACCTCTGGAAAGGAATCCCCCTTCCTCACAAAAGCTGACACACATACACAGACACAGGCACTGGTGCCCTCGATTCAGATCATCCGAAGACACTATGCCATTAGTTTTGTCTACATTGACTTTTTGAGCACTGCAGATTTTGTAGATTTCATACATATGGCAAATGGCAGCCATGTATTTATATTAAAGGGGTGGTTGATCAGCTTTTTTTCGAAAGCTTGATTGTGTTTATGGGGTGCAGTGTAACATGTGTTCATGCTTCGTTTTTTTTAAAAACGCATTATTTTCACATATTTTACCTTTATTCTACACCGCTGTTTCCATTCTTGTCAAAACGGTCTGTTGAGTTCCTGGTTCTATGAAGCCCCTCCCTCTGAAATACACAATGGGCTCTGATTGGTTAGCGGGCTCAATGTGTTTGTGATTCGCTAACCTCCTAGTGCACATTGTCCAGAAACATCACGCCCCCTTACCATTATGGGTAGTTGTGTGATCCCAGCGGCGGGGGTTATGTAAACACGGTCTGTTGAGTTCCTGGTTCTGTGAAGCCCCTCCCTCAGAAATACGCAATGGGCTCTGATTGGTTAGCGGGCTCAGTGTGTTTGTGATTTGCTAAGTGCACGTTGTCCAGAATTGTCACGCCCCCTTACCATTACGGGTAGTTGTGTGTTCCCAGGGGCGGGGTTTATGTAAACATCGGGTGATGTCACAAACCCAGGAAGAAGCTCGTTGTAGTCCCTACCAGTCATTTTTTGTAGTCCTTAAACAGCGATTTCTTTAAAAGTAAATATCTCCCTTTGCATTGAACTCTGAGCGTCGTAACTTTGCAGACATTGTTTATGCTCTAACAGCAACAATACACACTAACTAAAGTTCAAAAAGTGAAATCATAGTCAACCACCCCTTTAATTTTATAAGTTTCATTTGCCATCGCAAACTGTATTCATCCATTCATTGTTGAACTCATAAATAGGCAAATAAGTATGTTAAAGGGATAGCATAACCATAAATCAACATTTGATTTACTCACCCGTCCTGTTGTTCCAGGCCTGTATCCTTTTTTTTATAAAGTTGAACACAAACAGAAATGTTTAAATGAATGACCAAGCTGCTCTTTTCCATACTATTGATTACACACTATAGGGTTAAATATGAACAATGTAAAATTTAGAACTAGATATCCCAGAGTTATGTTTACCCAGGGTTTAGAATCTAGGTTAACAATTTTATGTGTGAAAAGCCCTTATCTTTGACTGTTTTCCTGCTACAGTTCCCAACCCAATTTAATGTTTGATTTTTTATCTTAAGGGGCAATAAACATACAATTTCTCAAGAGCAATTTTTGAAGGGGACACAAAAATGTTTTGCCTTAATTAAGGCCAAATTGCCTTAATATGGGGACTTTTTGTACTTTACGTTTGGTGCACTGAAAATGATCTCATGTCCATTTTTCTTATGTCCACTTTAGGCATTCTACTACCTAGAAGTAACTTTGCAACTACATGTCAACTAGCAGTCGTTAGAGTATTAGTAGACTCTCTGCTTAATATCTGCTGACACTTTATTTTGATGGTCGCTCAACAGACGTTCTACTGAGTATAAGTAACTTTGCAAGAACGGCAACTTATGCTACTAATCCTAACCTAACAGTTTACAAATGCTCTAATGAGAGTTAGTTGACATGTAGTTGCAAAGTTACTTACAGTTAGTAGAATGTCTAAAGTGGACTATTGAAATAAAGTGTAACCTAATTATTAAATTATCTTGTATCCTCCACATAGTATTTTAGGTTTCGTCTGGGATACAGGACATCTCTTACTTAGATATTCAACTGGAGCAAGCCCACTGATCTGTCACTTAACATCTTATTGAGTAAAACCCAACACAACGGTAGATCTACAATATTAGCCTAATATCAGTAAACACATAGGCATGTTGCAGTGTTAGTTGTAGTGGGAGATGTACTATCCAACGAGCTATAAGCTACCAAACAAGCAAGGTAACGTTATCATCGCTAACACAGCGAACTCATGGAAACATACATAAGTTATCTTTTTTTTTGTCATGATTAATTTATTAATGGCTCAGCATCATCTGTATTAAAGAGAAGAGAATCACTTCATCCGATGTTAAGGTAGAGAGGTAAAGCAGGCAGTGGACCAAAGCACTGAGAAAAGTGAGGGGGGACTCAAAATGTTTCTAAACTTAAAACTTTTTTTTTTGTATTGTTGTATTTTGTATTGTTTTAATACTTACACAGTTACTTTAAGTATATATCATAATATTAATTACAATACAAAGTGTGGTTTTTAATGATATTTTTAGGGGGGGGACAACCCTCAGATGGGGTGGGTCCTGAGCCCCCACCCCCGCAGTTTCCGCCTATTTGTGTTTGATGTGTAGTATTTCTTTGTGATGTGTTTTGATTTCAAGCTGTCTAGACAATCCAGCAAATGAGAAGATCTTCTGCACAGGCAGATACAGATATTATATATACACAGTTCATATTACACTAATTACCCTGTCTAAAGTTCAATAATGGTTTAATTATTCATTTTTGTTTTTCCCCCTCTCCCTTCCCTTTTTTTCTTTTAAAAAAATTATTTAGATGAAACCGTATCACCATGCTGCAGGAGGATTGTTTGTGCGTGTTCATATACACAAATGTGTTTGTCCAGGGAGGTGTTTCACTCAGTGTTTGAAAACCTACTTTGAAACTGAGGCTTGTTAAGTTATTCATATTAAAGGTAGTTTAACTACACTACAAAGGCAAAGTTCAGTAACTACACATTTAGTCAAAATTGAAATTGAATCTCTGTCCTGTGAGAGATGGGTTTGGCTCAATTATGCTCAGATTCACAGAAAACTGTGTATGAAAATTCATATGAACTTGATGAACTTCAGCTGTTAATGCATTTTGCCATTCCATTGTATGGAGGTACAGTCAGGCAGTCCTTTTGAAAACATAATAAAAATGAGCAAACTACACTGAAGCTATATGCATATGTATGTGTTAGGTTGTTGCATCTCCGCTTTTTGCTAATTACTCCAAACATCACCTTGCGGTGAACCTGTAGTGATGCTCAAGATACACTCTGCTAATTACCTCAGTCAGAGATGGACGGGCAGAGAGGGATAGCATTTGTGTCAGACAGCACAGTCAAGTCTCATCTTGTGCCTGTTGAATGGGTCATTAAGTACCCAACCCAGTTCCCTGCGGGGGTCTTGACGTCCTCTGTAAGCGTCCCTCTCTTCAGCAGTCTTAATGTTCCTGATTAATGCTCTGCCAGACTGGTTATGGTGTATATAGATGCTCATGGGAAGGGTATGTTGCTGTGAAGTTAGATTGACCATAGTTCTCCGCACACTGTCAGATTGTACACCCAAACCCTTCATGGGCCACCAGAGCACCTCAGAGGATCTCTGGCTCTCAGAATGTTGTGGGAGATTTACAATATGTAAATGAAGATGTAAAGAATACAGTTGTCAATGTAAAACTGCAAATTAGTCTATTATGTCATTGATATGGGCAGTATCAGGCAATTAAAGAGATTTAACTGGGGTTTAACATATATAATTGCTGTGTGGACTTATAGTACTATTTAAGTTCACTGCAGTTGTTCATTATTACAAGCCTAGGCATCATATACTTTTAGTCACTTTTTCCAATGCTGATTTTGTCCCAACTGATTTATGAAATAGCTCACAGCAGCTATATATTTAACGATGGCAGGACCAGTAAGTCATATATTGCTTTTTAATTGTTGATCCATGAATTTATCCACTGACCTCCAAAATCCATGTGTGGCAGATATAAGAATTAAGTTTACAAACTGAATATGGTCAGCAAGTTAGTTAGTTGCCCCCTCAAATCACTATGTACAGTAACTCAATGTGCTAATGAATTTGTATACATTTTTGTTTTTTACTTTAAACATGAATCTTTACTGCAGACTCAATTACACAGACTTTATTTCTCAAAACAGTGAAAGTTTTGAATGCCGTTGGTCCACATCCACATCTGAAGTTTTTAAAGAAGTCCTCAATTTGATTGGATTGGATGAGATGAGGTTTTCTCCGCCAGGTATTATAAGCGTTAGCTAAGAGCAGTATAGATGTTCTACAAATTAATTACTTTGCTGCAATAGAAGGACTTGACTACTTTTTTCTGTTTTCTTCTATCCCTCCATCTGCTTAGCTTCTTTCAACCCCAAAGTCTGAGAAATATAGACATCCAAACACTCTCATTATCAACAGCAACTACTCCCCCTCCGACTGTAGTCAGAAATAAATACTTGGACCGGCCAGTCAAAGCCCATCCAATCTCTCTTATTCTTATCCAGACTGTTTTTCACATATTGCGCTGATTAGCACAAAAAGAGGCCTCATTTTTTGCGCTTTCACAATTTGAAATCATCGCCAGGAAATTGGAGTGAAACATAGGCTGATACCTTGGCCAGGGCTGTAATTTTCTTCAATTTAGTGCTGCTTTGAATACCGTGTTGCTTGAACTCTTTGTTTGTCTGCTGTCTGATTTGTATTCCTGTCTCTCAGGTGTCTGAAAGGTGCGATTATGTTTACGTCAATGGCAAGGAGATGCGTGGGAGAGTGAGGATGATGGTGAACTTCACCTACAGTTACCTCAGTGCTCAGCTGGAGGTGAGCGTATGGATGCCTCGACTCCCCCTGCAGATCGAGATGTCCGATCCGGAGCTTAGTCAGGTCAGGAGCTGGAAAGTTCCTGTAGATGCTACCAACCAGAGGTTAGCGCCGTTTTTGTTTCAAATTTTTGTTTCACATTTGACCTTGATCATTTGAGAAGGGTTCATTGTATTATTGAAGCATATTGTAACTTTCAAAACCCTCCCAAGAACTTTCTGATGTTAAATAGTTTAATTTAGTTGAACACGTGAATGCATGGCTGCCCACATTTACACATCAGTGACATTAGATAATATTATTCCTTATATTATACTATACTGTAGCCTAAAGAGGAGAGTAAAGTGTGGAAAAGTCCACACTTTATAACCTTGTGTTATTCCTGATGTTAGGGTTAGGGTTGTGTGTATCACCTGCAGCCCTGCATTTCCTTCCTGAAGTTTACAAATAATGGTTCTTTATTGGCATTGTGGTTCCATGAAGAACCAAACATCCCTGAATACCCTGATTCTAACTGACACCTTTTTAAGAGTGTAAAGTATAAATAATTTTGGTGCACAACTTTGTGAACATTAGAAATTGATAAAGAATAAACCGTATCACCGAACAAAGAAATAACCAAATTATGGTGTTGCAAATGAAAAATAATTATTGGTTCCCAAAGACCCTTTAAAGTGAAAAGTTAAAATAATCTTTTTTTTTCTTTTAATAACCTTTTTCCACGGCGAAGGGCCTTTTGCTCATTCGAAGGGTTCTATGGATGCTAAAGGTTACTCATGGAAACATACAGGCCAACAAACAATCTTTATTTTTGAGAGTTATAATTATATAACTTCTATAAATTTTAATTGAGATGAAAAGAGCCTGGAAACTATGTTCTGTCAAGTTTTATAATCTTTAGCTGAGCAGAAAATATCCTGCACAGCCCACACATGTTATGCAATATGGTTCTGCTGGTGATTTGAAAACGCAAAGATTTCATACATTACTGTAATAAGTCTATTAGTACTGCACAGCACCAATGATGCTCCAGCTTGCCGGTGTCAGCCTGCCTTGTCTTTATCAACCCTCTCCTCAGCCGTTTTCATGCTCTGTCGTTCTTTGGTAACGCCAGACGTGTAGTGGAGCTCCCTCTGGAATGCATGATGGAGGTGAGGATGCGGACGCTGACTTTTTAATTACCGCTGGGTCGTCTTCAGGCACACCTGCCTCTGACGCACCAGCACCAGACAACGCGCAGGTTAATGCTGCTGTACGCTGCGGATATCCACAAGATCATTTTGAATTACTCTTCCACCAGAAACAATCCTGCAGGATTGACTCGTGCATGATAAGTGAGAACAGGATGACAGATGGAATGAGCGGTGGAGAATTTGCAAGGCAATGATGAGTCTGAGGAATAAGTGTGGTTATACTATTAAGTTGTTTAGTTGTCATCAGTAATGTGTGGTGGTCAGCAAGCAGATGTGTGGGTTGCACAATGATCGCTAATCCGTTATGTCAATATGAAGATTCTCTGACCAGACCCTACTCTTGCAATTGAGAAAGTGAATTGAGAAAGTTTTTTTTTTAATTAAAAATATATATTTTTGTTCTTGTTACAATTTAATTATTTAAACATTTTTTCTTGCATTATTAGCAAAATCCTTTGAGGCAAGTTCATGTGGCGGCCATCTTCATAACGCTCCCGGGCAGCTCTTTCCTTTGCAGGAAGTTTACATGCAATAGACATGCAAGTACAGCTCCTATATACTTGAATGAGGAAAGACTGATTCTCAGTTTGGTCCGTCTTCTTATATTGTCATGATTCTAGTGACAAACTAGTCATTTTGTTGCTTATAGCATCTTGTTTGAGTCTCTATTATCTGTTATGTCATTATTTTGTTCCTAATATACAGTAATCATTTGATGACTTATGATGATAAATATTCCATAATATGTGTTGCCACATGAAGTTCTGCAGGAAATAAACTCCAGGCGATCATCTATGGAAACTTTTTTTTTGTAGTGGAAAAGTTATATTGACTATAAAAAGGTTATTCACAATAAGAAAAGCATGTTTCTTTAAAGAACCTTTCACTGAAAGGTTCTTTGGGATACCACGGTTCTTCTATGAATCCTTTTTGATTCTTACTGATACCTGGACATCCTAGATTAAATATATGAGGGAATACATTTTGACTGAATTGTTCTTTATGGGTGAGCTGTTCCTTTAAGATAGTGGCCAGCTGGTGAGTTGTATTCATCAAAAGCCCATGTTTACTCACATTTGGCACTTGACAAGTCTTAAATTTGCACCCTTGCTGTATCATATGTGCCCTTGGTCTTAGGTCGTGTCTCTCACAGGTAGTATTTTGAGAGCGGGAAACATGTGCTTGAGTTGTAAGACTGAGTCTCATTATGCCTGAGACCTCCTGTGACCTGACATTCCTCAGCTGAGTGCCGCCGGCCCTGTTTATACACCTGTGTTCTGTAAATGTCATGCCGTTTCTACCGTCGGTCAAGAGTTGTTGCGTAAAAGTCTAGAGAAGCGTGGCCTCCCCTCTGGTCATAGCCACCATGTTAACCTGCCACTGCTGTTGTTTTTTTTTATTTTGGATGACTTCGCCTCATTAAAAATAATGGAAAAGTCAGAGCTGCGCAATCATTTAATTTTTTCAACCATTTAATTTTTTCACAATTCTTTTGTCATTTCTACTTGAATTTGTCAACCAAATTCTTACTCAGAAAATAATGTCAGAGATGCTGAAAGTACAAGTTTACATTTTTTATAACTTATCTTTGTTTTAAACCATATTTTCACACTGATTTTGTTGTATATATATATATATATATATATAT